TTCGCCCAATGTCCGACGCATTGCAATGCCAGCAAGGACCTCCATTTTCCACTACCACACTTAAAAAAATACTCCCAACATACGATAAATATATCTTGGGTAAGGTGATACACCCACTTAGGAGATGATCATTTTTGAAATAAATTTTAATTTGTAAATTACAAACTTTAATGAAAAACCACTTTCCCAAGTTTCCTCTAAGCAATCAACAAGCTATCATTTTTCTGAGTGCACTCTCCGAATTCCCCTCTTGGTAGCTCATGGGGGCACTGCCAGGGCAAAGGACATTTCCAATTTATTTACGCTCAGAGGCACTTTGTCTGCTCCGCTCTTCTTGGCCGAACTCCTCTGATGCTCCTTGTTCGGACTGCTCTGCTCCTCCGCTCCTCGTTCACTGCTTTCTCCTAGTCCTTTCCCGCTGCATATGACAGTATTTGTGTAGCTTGTCAGGGGGCAAACAGATTGGCAGGAAGGGAGGGATCAGAGGTCGAATCTCTTTGCCTCTTTGCTAGTCTGCCTTTTATTTTTGACAGCAAAATGTTCCTTCTGGTCGTGTTAGCGTGAAAAGTGTTGAAAGGTGTGAAAATGAAAATTTACTACTTGGCCGCCAAGATTTATGCTGGCCAATATTTTCGCTTTTTTCTTGAAGAGCAAAAGGGAAATGAAGAAAAACTTTCAAGGGACTAGAAGTGACCAAGGACTCTGGTGTCATGATATTTTCATCTAAATAAAATGAAAGGAGTGGCACGTTGTCCTTGTCGTTATTATGTCTGTAACTTTTTACTTTTTGGGATGTTTTAATTTGTCTTCACTGTACCTAACTAATTTGTAATAGTACTACTTATTCGTAAATCGCTGTAAAATAGTTTTTCAATTCCTTTTCAGCGTACATCGTTTCTAATATATTTTTTCTGCAGATATTAATTTCCTCTACTGCAACGCTCTAATATCAATTTCCGCCTTCGCCTAGGATCCATGCAAATGTCCTCCCACTGATTGCCTTATCGATTGCCAACAACCTGATCCAATACTTCACTTCCGTCTGTCACTCGCACTGTCGTCGATTGGCATCCCGACTTGACATATCCCCACAGCAGCAGCTACAAATCTTGTGTCAAGCATCCCGACACGCACTTGATAAATTATTATCTGCAGTCTGGGTGATGAAAGGCAATGAAGTCAGAAGTAAAGGAAGGCCAACTGCCCCCACGGAGTTCACATCGTTGCCCTCGTTGCCCTGCACTTTGCACTACGGCACAATTTATATTTAAAAGACAGGGGGAACTTGCAGCGGGATCCAAATGGATTGGCATGCACAGAGAGAAATAATGGTGATGTTTCTACGATAGTTAAGTGAAATTTGAAAAATAGTCCTATATCTATTAATAAGAAAGCACCTAAAAATTTCCAGTTCAAAAGTTGCTAAGAGTGGGTCGATTTTTATAAACATCATTTCCTAAAACAGAATCAGTACTGATCATGACAAAGGCCAGAACGGCGAATAGAAAAATCGGTTGGTTTTTTTTATGTTAAATATGTGTTTATTAATGTTTCTTAATCAAATACACTCACCAACAACTTCATGTCGGCAGGTATTAAAATTCTAAGTATGAGTTCTCCTCAGAAGGCAACAGCTTTTATTCCCCAAAGAAGCGACTCTTATCGCATCCACGAGGGATTTCTACTGAAAGATAACTTCAATAGTTCCACAGAATCTTTTTTCCCATATTAAAACTAGGCTTTCTTAGTATTGATCGATGATTAATTTATAATTTATAAATATTGAAATACATTATATTTTAAACCTAAGTTTAAAGTTTTTCCTTAGTGAACCTAGGGTGGGCAATCTCTAGCAAGAATAAGGATGAAATGGGAAGGCGTTGGGCCAGTAGTGGCCGGAAAGTGTCCAGCAGTTTTCAAGAACGACGCGTAAGTGGAGCGGTAAACAAGTGACCCGACCACGCCCACTGGCCACCCACAAAGAGGCCACAGGATGTTAGCAGTCGAAGGAGAAGGGAAGAAGCTGAGCTATGTGGCTAAAATGTTGGCTGCAGTCGCTCAACGGGCGGGCGCCATTTACCAAGTGTCAAAAGCAAAGCTAAAGCTATTGTCGACATGACTTTGGACGACAACAACAGCAAGAAGAGTGCTTTTTCCCACCGAAAAGTGAAATGCTTTGTTGGCAATTGCCGAGGAGTTTCCCGGAGCAAGTCGGAGAACTTGCAGCTGTGCAGGACCTGCAATTCCTGCTGCAGAGAAAAATGGGAGAAGGAGAGAGCAGCATGTGTCAACTTCTTTTCAGACCGAAGAAGGGATTTTCCTCTCCGGCGGGTCAAGAAGAAGGCGGCACCGATAGAAAAGTGGGTGACAAGTAACCGGAAAATGTATTTTATTGTTTGCATCCGGACATTTCGTTTTTCCGACCTCTGCCCTCTGGCTGTTCGGGCATTTCCACCCCGCAGCAGCCTCGCAAAACCGACCAGTGACTTGGTCTTCTGGCACTAAATTTGTCGAGTAATTGATGATATTGCACTTTTTCCCCAAGTAGGTTCGAAAAGGAGAGCTGCAGATGTTCTGAGAGTTGTGGGCGTTATTGTGGTAATGTCCTGGTCGAGAAGAGTGGCAGGGTAATGGATGGAGATATATCCGCGTGGATACAGGGAGCAGGAAATGCTGCCTTCGACGCCTTGAATAGAACTAGGACTATAAAGCCATTTTTTTTTGACGATTACGCATTAATCTTGGTAAATTTATCACATATATTATGTGATGTTCACTTAAATGAATATTAACTCCAAATCTTTCATTATTATCATTGAACTCGGGCTTTGGTTAATATCTTTTTCACTAAAAATCCATAAATCTTTATAGAAACTATAAAATTTTAATGGATTTCATTAGGAGGTTAATGTAAATATAGAGAACAGAAAAATTAATTCGATAATTAGTGCCCAACTTGATGGTTTTGGTGCATTGAAATAAACACTGATTCCTAGTCTCTGTGCACCTCCCACGTACCACCCATCAGAGCCAGTTCGAGCCAGGCTAACTTGATAGATTGTCTAAATGTGCTGCGTATGAATGAATGAATGAATAAGCGAGTGCGAGTGCGAGTACAGCCCCTTCTACCAAAGCAACCCCCTGTTATGTACCATCAGCCAGTTGATGGCCACCTCGAAAACGCCCGATGGGTCCGCCTGATGCTTCTCCGAGATTGATGGCCAAAATGGCTGTTGAAACAACGGCAAAGCGAGGCGGGGCGAGGCGAAGCGAGGCTAACAGGCAGCAGCGACTGCCGCTCAATGAAGAAAAATAATCACCAACATCATTTATTTTCCGTTTTGCCTGCCGACGTCGTACAGCACACATCAATCTTTTGCAACAGCAACAGCCAACTATCGACCATGACCAGGCCTGGACTTTGGCTGAATGGGAACTGGGAATGGAATCGGGGGACTAACAGGGAACTGGCAACTGAGAACTGGGACTTTTCGCCGTGATGTATACTTTTGTGAGCCTGACAGCTTCTGACGTGGATGTGGACGTGGACGAGAAGCCAGGCTTCAGCTTGATGTTTGATGTTTGATGCTAGGAGCCTGGAGGTTGGTTAGAGGTTTGGAGGCTGACAGACGACTTTTGACGTTTGCCTGCAATTAACGATGCCATCCCACTGGCTCAGTGTTGAAAAATGACTGCAGCTGCAGGTGAAAATGGCACGCCAGAGTGTTGGTTAATGACACGACAACAGTTCGAGTCAGCCAGTAAAGCAAAGGACCCCTCCCCCGCATTTAAATCATTAATTCCAATGACGAGGACCCCACACACGCAGCCCCATCACTCAACCAGAGTGATGTCAAAGATAGACGAGCAGCCCGGAGCAGCGGAGGATGTCTCTGGTAGTGGAAGTGGATGTGACCGGGGCAGGGGGCAGTCATCATCAAAGATGGGGATCTAGAGACGGCGTCAGAGTCAGAGTCGGTGTCGCGTCCTCGTTTGCTAAGACTAATTTGTGGCCCTCTTCTGAGACGCCCACAATGAGTGCCATTGCACTCAGAAGAAAGGTTTTATAAAACTTTTTTTATTTAAAATACCAAAGAAGTCCTCTTTTGATAAAATATTAAATATTTTTCATAGCATACTTTTTAGATTATAACCCGCTACAGAAAGGATCGTAATTAACAAAAGATTTTCCACAGTGCAGGCCCAACTTTTTGATCCTTGCTGAGGCTCGTTATGTGACTGGTGACTTGGTTTTGTTGCAAGTCACTTGAAAAGTCATTAATCATTTTGGGGGATTTCGCTTTTTGCGCCATTTGGGGCGTAGTTGTGCGCCGAGCTGTCGGAGTCGCTGGATTTCGACTCGGAGTGCTGCAGAAATCCATCACGCACCCAAATGGCAGCCACTCGCATCAGCCACCACCCATCCAAACAGCCAAACAGGCAAACGGCAACAGCCAAACAGCCAAGAGCCAACAGCTAACAGCCAACATCAATGTCAACGTCAGGCGGACCAGGACGCGGATGTGTGCGCGGATGTAAGCGCGGACAAGGCGACGGCAGCGACGTCTGACAAGCGGAAGAAAAGAGCCACCCATCAAGTGAGCTGAGCAAAAAAAAAGAAGAAAAACGCAGGCGGGGTGGAGCAGTCACTGAATGAAAGTGCTTTGTGATTAGGAGTCAAAGCATATGCTTTTTAATTTGCATGTCAGCTCGCGGTGCCAGTTGACGTTCTACATGCTCGGCTTGGATTAGGTTGCCTGCCCATCGTACCGTGAGATAGTCAGCAGGTTACTATTCGCAATTTGAGCTCTTGTTACGCGGGTTAGATGGAAGATACTTTAGTAGGACTGCAGTATGTTAAAAGGACACTAGAGACCAAGACATAGAAAGAGATTATAAGCTCAATAGTCAAAGATGTTATTATGAAATTATGCCAAAATTGTTTTTTTTTTTATTTCATTTTTATATCCTTTTAAAGACAAATTACTTTCACGATTCCATTAATATTTTCTTCCGGTATTGTAACGTATTCTCGAGTTGCGCATTAAGTCAGTGATTGGGTAGTTACCGCCTTGGGCTGCGGTTTCGGCAGCAGTGGGTGGGCATTGTGGAATGACATTTCCGAAAGCGGGAACGGCAGTCATGGCGACAACAGCCAGCACGGCGAAGAGAACAGCCTGAGAGATTTATAGGTGTTAAAAAATAATGCATTATATCTTAAGAAGATAAACTCACCAACAACTTCATCTTAAATATGACTTCTGAATATGACTTCTGAATGTGACTTCTGCTCAGAGTGCAGCTGCTTTTATACCCCAGAGCAGCTTCTTATCATAAGCTTACTCCTCTATTAGGTGGCGATAATTCAACGCAAGGTTACTTCTGGTAAGTAAGAATTGCAGTAATATTTCAAAATAATTGCAATAATCAAGAATTCATATTTCTTGGTATTCTTGAGTGAGAAATTGTTCGCTTTAGTTTTATACGGGTATATTACATTTTATTTACATTCTAATATCAAATAATAAAATACTCTTTTTTAATATACAGAAATTCACAGATTTGCAATAAACACGACTAACAAGATTATTAATATAGAAATAAGAAATAAGGAATTATTAAAATTTTCCTACATTTGTTGTTTTGTGTTTTCTTATCTACATGTGTTTATGGCGCCATCTAAGGCAGACCCAACGACTTATGTATGTATTTTAATCTTACATTTAGACTGCAAGTTATCTACATTATTTTAAACTTATCAAAGTCATATTCCAAACATGCGTTGGTTCTTGCCTTTGCTATATATTTAACGAAGTACAGAAACTGCTATAAAACTGAACGACACTTTAACAGAGCTGTTAGTTCTTAACAGAATGTTTTTAACATTTACAATTATATTATATTTTAAAAAATAACATAAGGAAAATTTTAAGATGTTATTTACATCATTAAAAAATTTGTGTAAAAATTTAAATTAAATCTTAAATATCTTAAATGCATTTTCAGTTTCCAACGAAAATCCCCAATCGGATTTTATGTTGTTATATCAAATTTAAGACTGAGTCAAAATAAAATAATTCAAACAGATAATAACAATATTTTAATCAATAATTTTATACATTTCACTAACATTTGTTTTCTCTTAAAAATTATAAATAATTAATTTTTATCCATAAATCTGAACTATATTTTCGCTACAAATAAAGGCTTTAAAGATGTAAGATGTAACTTTAAAATGTAACTTTAAAATGTACGTATTTATTTTAAAGTATACAGAACACAGCCGGAAATGTAAAGGGACTCAAAAGGAGCTATTACCTGTCACCTGTCACTCGGCTACGAAGTTTTCTACTAAAAGCCGGCCAATTAATAACGCTCACTCCATCTCCCACCCAAAGCCAGTAACTTAATGCAGATTCGCTGGGTGCGGTGGCTAATTAAAACAGCAGTTAAATTAGCCAAGAAAAGCTGGGCGAGCAATTGACAAATTGTTAACCAGATCTCCATACAAGACCAAAACCGAACCGATTTAAGTCGAATCGAAACTCGGCGCATCGATCAGCGGCGACAGAAACACTTTGCCTGTCGTCTGTCGGAGTTTGGTTGGTTGGTTTTGGCCATCTGGCGGACACTCGGACTCACAGAGTCCACTTGGCCAATTCCTGCGCCATAAGATGCCGTTAAATGGACACGCAGCGCGAGCCACATTTAAAGAAAGAGCTAATGCCAGAGCCCCAGACTTCAGACTTGCAGCAAGTTCTCGGTCTGCGTAGCCAGAGATGCTTCCTGTTTGATAAATTTGAAAATCAATTGAAAATGCCCGAAAGGCCGACGCATCTTGGTGGCAGACAGACACACATACAAGTCGAGAGAGATTCGCGGAAAAGCAGCTGGAAGCTGTTCCGAGTTGAATCGGAGATGCTGCCCCCTCCGGGAACTGGAAACGCCAGTCACTGCTTGGCCAAATTAAGAGTGTGTTTGTAGGACAGGAATTCGTTTAAAAAAATAATTCATAATAACAAATACATGTTTTTGGATTGTTTCGTCTTTATTAACATGAGAAATAAGTATCTTTAAAGTATTAAGTACCCGATTCTCGTAATTTATCCACCTGCAACTTTGTTTCCACCTGTCACGACCTTCAGTCACCAGTCACTACCACGCACTTGCAGCCGCATCACTGGCACTGGCCATAACCTAGAATATTTTAGTTTTTTATTGATATTTTCTAGCCATCTATTTACCGCGGCTGGATCATCTACCCCGATGCCCGATCCCCGCGCCAATCGATGCAAATAAATCACTATGGAAAATGCAGTCGATGAAAAAAGCGACGCGTAAGTGCCGCCAAATAAATTTCGCAATTTATTTATTGCAGAGTCCGCGCGGGTTGCCGTTCAATTAGGTTGGGAATGGGGGATGGGGGATGGAGAATGGGGATTCCCCTTGCACTCCCTGCCTTTATTTTTGGAGTCCATCGTTATGGTCAGGTTTTTGGCTATCGACAACAAACAGGCGCGTCGCGGAAGAAAAGTATTTTATTTCATTGCCAGCAAATTGGCAATAAGTGAAATTTGTTGGCCCCGCTTGGCAGGTGTGTGTACGCCTGCGTCTGTGTGTGTGAGCCAATGGCGATTGAAGGAAAAGGAAATTTGAATCGCACGCGTATTCCCTTACTGGGGAAATTGGGTTAGCAATGCCAAATCTTTTTCAGGGGGCGTATTCGGGGCCTTTTAGCAGGTCCTAAGGAGCCACTTAATATATCATCGTATGGTTTAATTCACCAATTAAACCGCTGCAGCAGGCACCTGCAAAATTCCAGGGAAGTGCAACCGTAACCGATCGACTCTGACCCATTTAGTTATTGTTAACATTCACTTTTGTGTCCGTAATTTATTGTTATGCCTGCACCTTCAACGGCATCATTTTTGCATAAATAAATCAGCCGTGGATGGGAGTTGAAGGTGAGCGCTGTTTGGTTGGGACAGGAGGGGGCCAAAGTGCAAATGAATTAGCATTTGTATTCACCCGATTCCCATACGCATCATTAGCCTAAGAGGCGGGCTGCATCAAGTGTAATTTAACCGTTAACAAAAGCCCATTGTGGGCTAACAACCCATTGTTGGTGAGTGAGTGTGTGGAAAGCCTTTTACCCGCCATCCCAGAGAGAGAAAAGAATCCGCGCAGACGCAAATTGATTGAACGCCGCCGCGAAGGAGTCCCAGTCGAAGATGGAGTCGAAGCTGGAGTTGGAGTTGGAGATGGAGTTGGAGAACCTGGCTAATGACCGCAAATTAACACTGGCCAAGGAGCCGCAAGACGAGTGTCATTAACAGAAGTGTTTGCCAGGCGGTCGAGTGGCAGCCACTCACTTTGGTGGGGCTTTTGGCGCGGGCTTTTAGCATATCTTCTAATAGATCGCCAACTTGGCATACTTAACTTACGTTCCGAGTTAGTGTTTTCCTTAACTCTTTCTGGCCAGTTGACCATGCTAAGTTGGGCCATAAATCGGCAGTTAACGCTAGAAGATCTCCAGCTACCGTCCTCGCCGCGGGCATTCATAATTTAAAGATTCTTTAGGTTCGGTATGGTTGGCGAGAGTAGTCTAGGCGAACGTATCGCAAATGGAGCATGAGTTAAGATTTTAATATAAAATGAGATAATAAATGTATTACCACATTAATCACTTTATTCAATACCAGGAAGAACAACCAATATTAAAGATAATCCCTGTTATAATGCACTTCCTATCTGGCTTAATATCCAACCTTCACTTGCTTATATGTGGGAAGTATCGCCGAACTAACCCAAATCTCGGCCAATTATCTACCACTATATAAAGCTATCCGGCCCACCCCGCTCTTCAATTTGCAATTTTGAAGCGAAAATCCGGGGAAAATGCAAGATTTCGTTTGCAAATTGCTCGTGTGTAGGTTTTGGACAACTTTTTCTGTTAGCATCTTTCTATTCCTATAATTACCACAGAAATCGCATAACAAGCTGCTGCCACAACGATAAAAAAACTGAAACCAAAAACAAAAAAACTGTACGAAATGGGGGAGTAACTGGGGAAACTGGGTCAGCTGTGTGGCATTATTGGTTTAGTGGATCAAACCGACAACGACTACGCAAAAGGCAATTTGAGTTGCAGAGGAAAACGAAATAAAACAAAAAGCATGGACCTCCACCGGCCACATTTATTAGATCAATGTCTCGGCAACAGCTAGGCAACAACGAGAGCAGCGGCAACCATCTAGCTATCAGGCTAAGGCTACCCACAAGACGTTAGTCTTAGACTGCTGAATAAATTGCAGAGGCTGCGGCCTACTCGAGTAGCAACAAAAAATCAAAAAAAAACTAAACTAAAAACAAAACAAAAAGCTGGGGAAAACACAAAATCAAACGAATGACTAGCATGAGGCCAATATATAATAATGGTTAAACGCCCAGGCAGCAGCAGTCTCTGCACTGCACTTTGGCAACATCTAATAACAGCAGCAACATCTGCAACATCGCCAACAAGAGCAACAAAACAAGCAAACATCGAAACAACCGGCAACCAACTGCCCATTAAACGGAGCTCCAGAGAATCCACCTCGATTGGCATTGGCGAAACAATTTAAATAGAATTCGCCAGCTTGAATGGGAAATTCGAATTGAATTTGTTGCTGATGCATGTCCATGTTGCTGCTGTTCATGTTCAATTTTCCAGCACCACCCAACCAAAAAATTCAGAGAGTGAAGATAATCATTAAAATAAATTGCTGGCTAAATAAGTTAGAGATTTATATACTCTTGATTACTATTACTGATAAAAGGGAATTGTAAATTTAGATGTTTAATAAATAATTTTATATTAAAATTTTCACAATATATTAAAAAGATTTATCTAAGTAATACAATCATTTTAAAAACTCTTTCAGAGGTTCTTACTCAGAAATAACTTGACATATATTTGGCACTTGCTGAGTCCTTTTAATAAACCCACTAACTAAGCAACTGACAAGCTGAATAAAAAGTTAACTAAATCTTCTAGAAAATTGTTTCCATATTTTACCAGGAAGAATCTAGTCAAATTGGATAAATATCCATTGAAACCTTCTTTCTGCCAGGGTAGAGAGCAGCATTCGTTGGTAACGCATAGGCACACTTGCCGCAAGATTTATATGCATGCATGATCGGTATTAGAAAATTGTCTGAGCAAATGTTTTCGGCAAGCATGTTGCACATGTTGCTGCCGCAAAGCCGCATAG